GGGGGGAGAGGAGCGGGGTACCAAGTACAATAGAGTGGGGGGTATGATGCTACAGGGGGGGAGCCTGCTTGCATAACCTGTAATATTATACTGTCTTGGGTTTATATTATCGACCAGTCAGTCAGTTAACGTTGGTTCCGCATCCAGGCAACATCATGATCAGGTTCCTTAATTCATCATTTACTTAATTTTGTATTCCACACCTCTCAATTCGTCTCCATAAATCACAAATATTATATTGATTTGGAAAATAAAGTAACAAAACCATTAGAAAAGCTGCAACACCTGTTTTATCATGTTTTTGGAACACGTAGTGGTGACTGGTGACCACTTAACATGAAAATTATATGACTAATAAGAATTGAAAATGTCTTGACTAGCTTATACCGAAAATTTAAAAAAAAAGATGTTAAAAGTGATCGTATTTTGCTTCTTTTTTTTAAGAACTTATCTTTTAACTTGTCAGGTTTAGAAGGACAAAGGACGTGTAGACCCATTGTAGAAAGCTTATAGCACTTAAAACCCTTTTTTGATTATGCCTAAATTCCGTTCATTAACCCTAAACAGGCTGGGGGGGGGTTTGCGCCCCCCCCATAGTTTTTTGTCGTAGCACTCTAATTTTTGACACTTATGACCGTGAAATTGTTTGACTATCTTCTGAATAGTAATTTAAAGGATTTTTTGTTAAATTTTTTTTTTATTTATAGGGTAGGGTAAAGGGCGGAAAAAAGTCCGGTCCGTGAAAAAAAAAATCTAAAATAGCCCATAACTTTTTGTGACTAAAGCTACAGATCTGAAAACTTTATTTTTGAAAAGCCATAGAAAAATGCTTGTAGAAACATGTGTCACACTTTGATATTTGTTTAAAACAATTTTTATACCCTTTTCTGGGTTTTTTTTCCAGCCTCCCTAGTATGCACTTCAACCCTATACCTATTCTCTAAGGCTTTTTTCTAGGGGGGGGGGGCGCCAAACGCCCCCTAGCTATACATTGATTCAGACCCCCCAGCCTATATAGGGTTAAGCTTTTAAAAAAAAATATTCAATGAAATGCATTTTAGAGGGATTGTAGGAATCTGTTTAGTTTTGGCCCTTTCCTCAGCACAAGGTTTCATTGTTATTACTATTATTTTTATTATTATTATTATTATTATTATTATTATCATTATTATTATTATTATTACTGTTATTATTCATCAGATGAGAGTGATGAGATACAGTCTCTGCAGACCACTATCAAAATAAACCCGGAGAAGGTTTGGAAGGTAAACTCTCCAAATAGAGTGTTTGGCTTTTTTCATTTCGTTCGTTCATCATTTGCAAACGACCCATTTTTTTCTTTATTTATCGTTAAAAAAAGTTTTTCCATTTTCAAATAAAAGTTCGCTTTCCATCAAAACATCGTTTAGTAAAATCGTTAATTTAACAAAATTTATATTTCAGCAAAAAGTTATTTTGAAAACCGTTCGTTCATTTAAAAATTTAAAAAAATTGCTTTATTATAATTATACTGTATACAGTGAAAACCAGAAAACTCTGAAATGGAAAGATGTTTAAAAGAATCAAGTTATAACTTTTAAAGGTCACAGAAAGTGTGCAGTGTAAACAGACCCATTTCACTAAATTAGTGAATTAATATGCGTCTAGTAACACTATGTTTTTTGTAGCAACATCAAATAGACTTAATTAATGCTATAATGTTGTCTTCCCATTCCTTTTCTGGATATCACTGCAATACAATTTTTTCATGATCAATTGCTTGATTGATTATTTGCTAGCTGCTGTTAAAAAGATCGCCCTGTGGAGTGAATATAGAACCTGAGCTTTGTACTTGTAAAACAGGAAGTACTTTCACCTGGCCTACTGTAGAGGAGAGGTGGTTATTATTCTATTATTATTATTATTATTATTATTATTATTATTATTATTATTATTATTATTATTATTATTATTATTATTATTATTTTTATGATGCTCTTGATTATTATCTTTTTAAAAGTGTCTTTAATTTCCTTAAAACTTCCCCAATACAACATGTTAGGTGGCTTAAAAATGTGGACCTGATCATTTCAGCTGTTTTGACAGACATATATTTAAATAGATTATTATTATTATTATTATGTATAACAACAAGAATAATATGAAAATCAATATAAATATTTTCAAAGGGTTAATGTTACCTCCCTGCCCTGCCTGGGTGGACCTCCTGAGACCTGCACATGCCCAGGGGGAAAAGTTTTTCAGCCTCCCAGGTAAAAAATCCTCCCCCACCCCTGTTAGCTGGTAAGAGCCCCCCTTCCCGACCATGTCAGTGCGTAAAAAAGCCTCCCCCTCCCCCATCTTCCGTTAGAAATCTCCATTCCCTCAATAAATATTGAAATTATAAATTTAAAACATTTTTGTTCTTCTCAAGTGCTTTTTGATAAGAAAGGCATTGCTTGAAAACATAAAACACTTAAATTTTCTTTGTTTTACGTGTAAAACTTTTGGTTTAATACTTTGACATAATTTTATGATTTGGAAAATTGAAGAAAACTGTATAACTGTAGGGAAATATTGTAAGATAAAAGACTCTTCAAAATCCAATTATTCGCCATTGTATTAAACCCAAAATTGTTCACTACAATTACTAATGAATAACAAGAATTTTATTTTATAGGAGGCAGTTAGCGGCTATAGAGAGACTGCTCAAGAATAATATTGGAAAATAATAGTGTAAAAAATAACTGAATAGTGTTAAAAAAATGTTTATTGAATCATGTTGTTAATACACATAATAAATGATAAAAAAATCATTGTATATTTTTATAAAAAGTAAAAAATGCCGGCAAGCATGATTATTTTTAGATATTTGTTGCATTACAACCGTTTTTTGGAGCAGTTTTGCTTTACAATATATTTCAAATGTTTTTTAGGTAGTTTTTAGGAAGTTACGCAATTTTAAGGTAGGTTTTAGGAAGTTACGCAATTTCTAGGAAGTTTTTGGGAAGTTACGCAATTTTTAGGTAGTTTTTAGGAAGTTACGCAATTTTTAGGTAGTTTTTAGGAAGTTACACAATTTTTAGGTATATTTTAGGAAGTTACGCAATTTGCTTGGACTCTTGAGGGTGGCATCTCTGTCAAAATTTGTTTTATCGATGCTTGAACTATCAACCTCATCCATCTTACTATCAACCTAAATAAATTTACTAAAATTAGTTTCAATTTATTTATTGAGGACTTTTCACCTATTAGAGATGGGTGTATTAGGCCTTTTTTAATTCGTTTGTTCCCTAGTTCGTTAATAAAACACTTCGTTTTTTATTAAATCATTAAAAAAAAATTTAATTTGTCTGTTTTCGGAATTATTGTTCATTTGTATCTATTTAGCCTTTTCTAACTAAAGGGTCGTTCAATTAAATTGTTAGTGGAGTAAGATTTTTTTTGAGCAGTAAAATCGTTTGTTCAATGACGGTCTGAATGAACCTTAAAATGCTAACGATCATTAACAATTTTTAGATTGATTGATATACAAATAATTACCATGTGACTTAGGTTGTCACCCATTAGATGAAGAAGCTTAGAGAAGTTTCCCTTGTTCATACACTGGGCTAGGTAGTAGAGCAGTAACCAGTCAGAATAGGAGAGCTTGCTTAGTACACTAAATATAGGAGAGTTAGCTTAGTACACTAAATATAGGAGTATGTTTAGTACATGCACTAAATATAGGAGAGCTAGCTTAGTACATACACTAAATATAGGAAAACTGGCTTAGAACACTAAATATAGGAGAGCTAGCTTAGTACACTAAATATAGGAGAGTTAGCTTAGTACATGCACTAAATATAGGAGACCTAGCTTAGTACATACACTAAATATAGGAAAACTGGCTTAGTACACTAGATATAGGAGAGCTGGTTTAGTACACTAGATATTGGAGAGCTGGTTTAGTACACTAAACATAAAAGAGCTGGTTTAGAACAATAGATATAGAAGAGCTGGTTTAGTACACTAGATATGGGAGAGCTGGCTTAGAACACTAAATATAAGATTGATGCTGGTCTCAACATTGTTAAGGCTGGTAAAGACCTGGTCAACACTGAGATGAAGGTCGTCTCCAGCCTCAACCTGAAGTTCACCTCCATTGAATTTAGAACTACTCTTCCCAAACATCATGCCGGCATCGGAGCAGTTGAAAGAATAATCGGCTCTATCAAAAACACAGTTAACAAGTCACTCGTCGGCCCTCACCAGTTGACAATGGACTCGAGAACTACAGAGAACAATATCAACTCCATTTTGTGGCCTACAACTTCGTTGTGTCTTCCACCAGCTCGTCCACCAAAGTTCGAATGACCACGGACAGCTCCATGCGCACCGAGACCGGCCTCAGCCTCAACGACGTCTCCCAGCCGGCACCAGGAAATGTTCCCAACATGAGAGGAATAATGCTACGCTCCAGATGTCACCCCTATTTTGCAATATATGACATTCAAAAGTTCTTCAGGTCCGTGCTCACTTCTACCAAGGACTCCTTCCTCAGAATCATGTGTGTTCCGTCAGGTTTCTTTTCCAGTGCTCCTACTCTTAACCCTACCTGGAGATATTTCCGAGATCAAGCGATCCCTTTCGGCGACAGCGCATCTGGCGACTATGCAACTTGTGCGAAAGTTGCTACTGTCAAGACATTCATCACAGATTCCCCCCCCCACCTCCAACCTGCCATTCTCCAAGCCATCTTGGAGGACACATATATTGATGACGGAGGTGTCTGTGCCAACTCTCCAAGTGAACTCACTACTCTGCAACAAGAAATAGAAAGGATCCTTAACAGAGGGGGATTCTCTATTAAATCCTGGGAAAAATCTGGTGAGAGTTGTATCAGCAAGTACTTGGGCATGACGTGGGACAGACTTAGAGACCTGTACAGCCTGAAGTTTCGCCTCAACCTCCACAAGAAGTCCCGTGGGATTCCATCCGGTGCGGATTTAGACTCAGATTTCTTGCGAGACGAATCCGTCCCTGTTACCAAGAAAAACGTTCTATCTGTTGCGTGTCAGTTCTACGATCCCTCAACTCTTCATTTTTTTCGACGGCTCCCTACAGGGCTATGGAGCTTGTGTATATGCTCACTCCAGCGATCAGTTCAATCTCCTCTCCAGCTCCTCTAAGATATTGGGAAAGTCTGCATTCTCCGCTCCACAATCTGAAATGGCAGGAGCACTACTCGCCTCCAGGATGGAACAAAAGATAAAGCAAGAGTTGTTCAACGTCTTCCTCTCCCCTCCTACGTTCATTGGAGACTCAGAGATCGTTTTAAAGATGATCGCTAAAAATGATCCAGCTGGAAATCCTGTATTTTATGGAGTCAGGTTGATGGAAATCCTAGCAACGTCATCACCCGACAACTGGTTCTGGTGTCCCGGAAACCTCAACCCAGCTGACCTGCTCACCAGATCTGGAACCAGCTGCGCGCAGGTCAACTCACAATTCTGGTTGAACGGTAGTTTCTTACCTCAGAATAAATCCTCATGGCCCATCACAATCTGTTCTTCCATCACCTCAGGCGAAATTCCCACCAGGTCGGTCAACCTTGCGAGATTAGCCCCAAACCACCCTTCCCGGGAATATATTTTGAGCCTTTTACATCACGAACAGAGCCTTGTCACTGTTATCCGTGCTCTAAACCTCCTCCACAAAGTTTGCAGATCCTGGAGAAATGACCTCAATCCTATTGCTACCTGGAGTTCCATCAAATCGTCCATCAAGTCCTCTGTCCTCAAGTGTTTTACCACGGAGTCAGAGCTCATTATTGCCAACAACAAGATGAAACACCTCGTTATCCAACTAGTGGACGGAGTATATTATGTGTCGGACCGCAGCTTCCATTCCAGAATCAGGGTTCCCCTCATCAGCAAGAAGACCATCCTAGCCAAATGCATCCTGAACGATGCTCATGCTGATCTGGGCCACAGTAGAGATGTTCTCCATGTGCTTACTCACATTCAAGCCAACTTCTTCATTCCTGGTATTCAAAAGATGATCACAGCTCTGAAGAAATCTTGCCCTGGATGCATCAAACTGAACCAGGTTCCATTCGCTGCATTTGAGGCTGACGTCCCTGACGTCCTCAAATCCATTCAGCCTCCTTTCTCCTACTGTCAGGCTGACATTTTCGGACCCGTCTTTGCTCACAAAGACGGTACCAAGACCAAGAGGTGGATATTGGTCATTCTCTGTCTTTCCAGTCGCGGGGTGCATCTAGAGATCCTACATAACTACAGCTCCCAGTGCATCACCAGAGGATTTAACAGAACCTTAGCCCTGCGAGGCACACCTCGCATCATTTGCATTGATGCCAGTCTCAACATCGTTAAGGCTGGCAAAGACCTAGTTAACACAGAGATGAAGGTCATCTCCAACCTCAATCTGAAGTTCACCTCCATTGAATTTAGAGTTACTCTTCCCAAACACCATGCCGGTATCGGAGCAGTTGAAAGAATAATCGGCTCTNTAAATGCTCCTCTCGGAGACAAGAATCCAAACCAAACAATTTCAGCCCGCCTTTCTTCCTTGTTCTCCGATGACGGAGTTAAAACGTTTATCAATTGTGAACCATTTCAAAGTTAAACAAAAACATTTCTATTTAAAGAATTAGTGACTTTCATCAACATTTAATTGTCAATCTTTTCAGAAGTTTTAATGTATAAAAAGCATCTTCGGACTTTTCGACAGATAGCCCCCGAATAGGAAAATAGATCGTAAGAATCTTTTCATTATAAATTTGTAAACCCTGTAATAATTATTTATCATCATTCATTTCGTTATTTTTTTAGAAAATAAAGAGTTTTCTGCATTATCGATTTTGATTCGTGGGTTATACCTTGTCTATCTGTTCATCGTCAGAATCTTGTTTCTTAGCGACAACACCTTTATGTTATCAAAATTATCTTGTGTTTCATGTGTGGCCTACATTTTAATAGTTTCATGCAACAAGATAATGAATAGAGAAAAGAAATTAGATGTGAATATTTATGAAGGCCTCCCTAATGTCAGCATTTTATTTTGTTCAAATGAAAACGTTTTTTCTATTTCTGCTCTTGATGGTAATCTTTCCTATGTTGGGCATTCAAGCTCTTTTTGGCAAAATGCTACACGTCTACGGGAAAAAATTGAAAAAATGGTTCTAATCTTTGAAAATGGTGAAGAGACCACAGTTTATGAATCTGCAAATGATGTTCATTATGAAAATTATTACACCTCTTTCATTACCCCAAGATACAAAACATTCCTAGAAGTTTGTCATAGCTTGGATCTGAAGTACTGGACCAAGATTAAAACTATGGAGCTCATTGCAAAAAAAGAGCTCAGTGTTTATGTGCATATGAAAGGGCAATTTTACAGACCTGGCAGGAAAGGGTTCTCATTTATGAATCCTTCAACTGTAAATTCAGGGTAATTGAAATATAAGTATGTTATTGTTCTTAAGGTGGGGGAGGAGTAGAAGAAGAAAATTTAAAAATTCCATGGGAAAACCAGCAGTTACAATATATAAAGTACATGACATGTATGATATCCTCGAATGTGAGGCAAAAATATTCTTTTAATACAACAAAATCCAAACACTGAATTCAATAAAGTAAAATGGGTTTAAAATTTAACAAAATACAGACAGGAGAAACTGATTTTTCAGATGAAAGTTTGACAGAGTCCAATGAAAAAAAATATCATTGGCTTTAGATTAAATATTTTTTTACAATATTCAAACCAAACAAAATTTTCAACCGCAAATTCTTTAAAATAAACTTTTAGACATATTCCAATTTCAAAAAGTAAAAATCTATCCATCACCTTTAGTTGAATTATGCTCTGAAATACAGAAATACAAACATTTAATATTTGGCAATTGACAGCTTACTTTTAGAACTAAGATATATTTCAAACTCTAACTAGATTTAAACTATCAGGCCAAATTGCTTATACCAAGACTTTGGTGAATCTTGACATTCTTAATCAAAGTAAAGTATACGAAGATGATTATTCGGATCAATACTCATATGATGATTGTGTGCTGAATCAAATCAAGAAAAAGGGAATTCATCCTGATATTAATAGTATTCTCACACTAAAGGGTAATATCAAGATGACAGAAAAGATCTTTCAAAATCTTTCAGAACAGTTTGAATCTGGAACCATTACAAGCAACTGCAAAATCCCCAATATAAATTTACAAGCTACATTTACAACTGCTGACCTTAAGCTTGCTGACAGTAAATGGTTTAATATTAACTATTTTGGCTGGACGAAAGGTGTAGTTTATGAAGAAAAATTATTCAAATTTAGCATTGATTTTCAGCAATCTACAGTACATAAGGAGGTAAACTTTCCACCAGGACTGTTTTAAAACTTTAAAACATGAAAAATATTGAGGGAATTTATCAAATAAAATAAATTTAACAAAATTACTTATAAATTCTGATAGTTGAATTCAATTCAGGTTTATTTTCCCTATGGAGTGATATCTCTAGTTGGTGAAGTTGGTGGTTGGGTAGGATTGCTTCTTGGTTCAAGGTGATTACTTAATACTTATACTAAAATTCTAAATCATCTGTGTGCAAGTTAGTTTCATTATTTATATTAAAGAAAATAAAATATTACCAAATTTGTTGTGGTAACTTAGATGACTAAAAGGCAATATCATGGCATGTTAGAATTACTAAATTTTGCCTCCTAAAGAAATGAGGCTTTTGTAGTTCATTGATAAAACTGCAAAATCTTCAATTGTTATTTTTTATAAAGTGCCACTAATAAAGGTACTAATTCTAAAACCCTACCTATATAAATGAGTAATAAAGATGATTTGGAACATTTTGTCATAACATGATCTATTATTTCAAGTGTTCTTGGATTGGGAATGTACTGTACAGACTACATTGGGAAAACAAGAAGAAAACTCGGAAAGATAGTTTTCTTTTTTCTTCTGATAGGAATTATCATTGCTATGGCTTACCAAATCATATTTTCAATTCTTAAGATACAAAGGTTTCCAACAGGAAGTTCTTTGGACACTCAGCGAGCAGAGACAAATCTAAATCTTAGCCTTTCTTGATTTAAATCAATTTTCCAACATCAGATTTAAAGGTCTAAAATCTCTTACAGGAGTTTTTAGAAGAGAAAATGAAGATGCCCCATGGGTAAAATCTCAAGAGAATGAGCCAAGAATATTCATCTGGACAATTGATAAAGAGGTTCATCACTGCCTGGTATTTGAATTTCCAACTGTTGAAGTAAAATTAACTCATAAATTTAATGAATTTTTGTCAACTAGTGTCTATGTTCATGAATCTGGTCTTCTCACTGCTGGAAACTCAATCAAACTTGATGGCAATATATTATATAATAATAATATCCTACTGCTTGACGTTCAGCAGATTCAGAAAATTGAGGATGCAAATGTTTGCACAAATTCTAATGAATATGATGTATGTAGAGAAGATCTAATTTCAGAAGAGTTTAACTCATCACAGGGATGCCTTTATTATGATATGAGGTGCAGCCTTAAGAATAAGTAAATATGATGTTTTAATTTTATCATTGAAATATCTTAAACTTCCTTTCCTTTAACTTTAATCACTTGAATTGTCACTATTTAGCAAATAATTTTCTCAAACTTTGGCTCTTTTTATGATATATTTAAAGTGATTAGAAAAATAAAAAAATATTTTAATATAGTTTGCATTCAGATTAGTCTCAATTTAGTGCAGATTCAGATGATAGATCCATATCCAAATTGATATTATTTGGATTTAATTTTCCTTGTAACATTTCTGACAGATTGTTTTCAGGCATTCAAAGACTTCATATATGACATGCGAGCTACCAGAGATAAACGGAGGCGTAGGTAAAAGAAAGAAAGTTCAAATAAAAACATTGGTAAAGATTAATTTTGTTTTAGCATTGGATGGGATTCGGAAAAGAGAATGTTTCTCAAGGAAATTTGTTCAGTTATCCACAAATTTTCATGCAGGACCAAGTACATGCCTTCCTCCATGCAAAATCAGCATTTTTGCTGCCAAGCTTGTACAAGTGACTGACATAGTAAGTGACATTAATAGTTTTCATGGTTGTTTCTTGATTGCATTTTTTTGTGTCTTTTTTTGTTTGTTTTTGGGCAGTGTGTTTTACACCAACTTTTATGTACTTAACAAAAAAACTTAGCCATGTAGATTTCTGAAATGATGTATCAAATACTTTCAGAAAAAAACAAATGATGAGAAATATCTGATAATCAAGAAACCCCGAAATGTGGAAGTTCTGAAGAGTGAATACATTTACACAATCTGGGAATTTGCTGCAGAGTTTGGAGGCTGGGTTGGAGTACTCTTTGGTTTCTGTATTCTTGATATTATTGATCTTATCAAGACTGTATTCATCTTCATCATTGAACTCTATATGGACTAAACAATACTATTTGGAGCATTAGATGTTAACTATTCAATCTATATTCTAAGTGTTTTCACGATTTACTATTTTGGAATAAATATTCTACATGTTACTTTGTGTAAAATTAGATGCAAAATAATAAAAAAATTAGAACATATTCAGATTTGGAACATATTCAATGCAATAAAATGAAAAAATATATATTTACAATTTTATAAATATATTAACATCAAAAGAAAAGATTTTGATGTTTATAAGTGGGGTCCAGAATGCAGAGTGCAGAGGTGCTACTGGGTTTAAAACATGGATATCCGATATAAATTCTTGATCACACAAAGCTTCCAAGAAACTTCTGAATTAAAAACGGTGCTATTTATCATAATGACTTACCATTATGTAATAATCTGAAATTTTACTATATGGAAATACGTTTGTTAGGTTTCTGAATTTTTGTTGTAATTAAACAAGAATTGGCCAAAATCTATAATTGGTTTTATTCAAAGTAAAAGAAATGTCAACAATTTTTGAAACAATGAACTTATTTATTAAATATATCTATATGCAAAACTTAACCTTTGAAATCTTCATCATAGAATTATGTGGAGTGAAATTTACTTAAATGTAAATGTTAGATGTAAACTGTACATTAAATATTGAATATTCTACATCAAATAACAAATGTAAAGTAGACCTTAATGACACCCAAAGTTATTAATACTTAGTCAGCATCTTGTAAGTTCAGGTTTTTTCATGCATTTTGTTTGATCATGAATTGAAATGATTTTATTTTCAATTATACCTATGTATAGGGATTAGGGATGGATCGTTTCCACTTTATTGGAAAAACGACCGTTTTGTTTTGAAAACAACAAAGACAAAACAAAAAACGAAAGAGTGTTCATAAACAAATATTTTTTTTAAAACGGTCGTTTTCTATTACCATCTTTGTTTTAAAACAACAAGTTTCTAAAAAAATGATAACAACCCTTTGTTGACGATTGTCAACAACAGACCTTTGTTAACGAATGAAACAACAAGACTTCATTAACAATCCTGAACAATCTTTTAAAGAGAAAATACACTTTTGGTCGAAAAATCTGGGATCAGAAAACTTGCAGGTTATTTGTCTAAATCAAAAAAACACATTAAAGACAACATTCATAACTTATCTTCATGACAATCTTGTTATCGTTTTTATTTTTTTACCGTTTTTTAAAAAAGGATAATTTTAAAAACACAATCATTGATCATTTTTCATTTTTTGAAAATTAAAAACAAGTGGTTCGTTTTCAAAAACTATTGTATTGTTCTAAAAACAAAACTGTCGTTTTTATTGAAAAAGAAGAAAATTATAACGAAACGAAAAACAATTGCTTTTCTATCGTTTTTAAAAACGATTAACAAGGCTGCCTATGGGTCCGTTTTTGTTTCAAAATGAATTAATGAATAATATTTTGACAATTTATGATTATTGTAATTGTGCAATTTGAGAGTTTAGGGTATATAATGTAGAGTATTGGGACAGCAAGCTTGTTAGTTCATAATACTAGTTATTGGTAATATTTTTTCAATATCAGTAAATTATACGTTACAAAGAAATTCTTGAGGGTGTAGATAAATATTTAATAAATTTTTAAAATATTTTGACCTACATCTGCCTCATATATCATTTTTATTTCAAACCAGGTATATAAAATTTACTTAATTTTTTAATAGCATTTTAAAACCCCCTTAAAAATAGAGGGCTACTTTTGAGGCCTTACACTACACATTTATAAGTAATTGGTCATTGTGTGACTAGACGTCCAGCTGATAGGTAAAAGTTTAATGATAAAGTCTAGGTAATAATTGTTGATAAACAAGACATTCTTATATGAATATATGTTACCTATAGCCGGCCAAACGGCTGAATCAATTGGGCTGAAATTTTTTGTGGACACTCATGGTGTCCTGGGGTGTTGTAGGCTAAAAATAAATCGAATTTTTTTTCTCAAAATGTTTTATTTTTTTTTAATGGGCAACGCCGGGCCCTTCAGCTAGTGCTAAAATAAAATTGTAAAATTAGAAAACTATGAAACCTGTAGAGAAACAAATATATCAATGATTACGGTAGCTTCATTTTTGACCACAAATTCTTTGACAGCTTTTTAAATAGGAGCATGGTTACTTTTTCCATTCCACTTTATCCTGTCAGCAATTCCCTAAAGTTTCTTGCATAATAAGATATAATTGCCATTAAAAGTTCAAAAACTAATTAAGAAGGCAAAACAAATTTCTTGAAAAAATCATGTTGCATGTCGATTTCTTTTTATTTTAACTGGAATCTGTTAACATTTTTGAAAAAATATTAAAATTAAAAGGCTCATTCTTGAAAAACTGTCGAAAATGAGCATTTTAAAAAAGTACATTTTTTGAGTGTTTTTCACATAACTCAGTAAATTTTTTAATTTTTCAAAATTTCAAAGGGAATTAATTTTTCTGGACTACTTTGAAGAAAATGGTGTTTGGCATTATAAAATCTACAAATACAAAGACTTATTCTGAAGTAATGATCTTGAGAGTTTTGAAAATTTTAACAAACTGTAACAACTAATAACTAAGCTGCATAGCTTGACCCCCTAGCCCATCCTAGCCGCAGTGCTCAGCCCAGATTTAATCCCAACCTAACCTAACCCACTATATAGATAACATGAGCAAATTGTAATTGCATGGCAGTTAAATGTAAAATGTGTCATTGTCTGTTTTATGTTTCGTGGTTTATTACTTATGATAGAACTGATACCGTGACCTAATGGTTGGATTTGAGAATTACCACTATCCTGCTATAACGATTGACCCATAACTACTTGATAATTCGGACGCAAACCCTCTAGCAAGGTTAGTTTCCATAGCATTGTTTTAATTGTTATTTCCATTCATATACATGTCTTAAGGATCTTAAGGGATTACAAATTATTTCTTGATGGAGAAAAAAAGAAAAGAAAATCTTCTTGGAATCATAGATTTTATCAAGGAAATCATCTTTTTAATAAACTCACTTAATAATTCTTATATGATATATTTCTCCCCCATTTTCACATTTTTTTTGGTAAAAGATGAAGTTTCCTAGACCACATTAACTATAATCTGTGTTGGTATAACTGTACGCCAAGGATACAATACAGCAGCTAAATATGCTAGTAGACCCATTTCTTCAGGAGTGGAGTTGGTTCCACTTACAGGTGACTCAATGAGCTAGTGAATCCACTCTTTTAGCTGGATATTTAATGACAGCCTATTTTAACTCATTTTTTAAGCCATGTGAAAGATCCCAGTGATACATAAAATTGAAATTCTAATCCTAATGGAATGTTGCTGAACTTTACATTGAAGCTGTGAAGTAATCTATAACTCTGACAAAACGAGAACTAATAATTAATATATAAGTAAAAAATGTATATAAAAACAGAGGTATTAATTTCTTAAAACACTAGACACAGTAAAATGAATAAAATGTTTAACTTTTGAAAACTAAAATCATGTTAAGCTGTGGTTCCTGATCTTCAGCTTTCCATCTGCAAAAGAATTACATCAACATTATGGCAGAATGATGCAACAGGAAAGTAAAAAGATAAATAGGCTTATTAATTAAAGGGACCGTTCACTTATTTGGGTAATTTCAGGGTCAACTAAACAGCCTATTCGCTCTTGATTGGTAATAGTCTTACTTTTCAAAGACAACTGTGGCCGGAGAAAAAGCCGATTTTTCGTTTTAGAATTTGAGCGGAAAGAAACGGTCCCAATAAATTTTAAATTTATCATATTTTAATGTCATCATGTGTTTGTTGTTATATACTAAAATATGAAAACTTTTGACATTTGAGTTAGCAAGAAATTTACGTTTTTCGTAATAAAACATGTAAAAGTGTGTACAAAGACGACCTCTCTACGACAATCAATTAATCATCTTTTTACACAGGCAATACAAAATCTTTAATGCAATAAAATAGTCTTATATTTTAGAAATAGAAAGTTAAAAAACAAAAAAATAAAAAAGTTATAACATTTACAATTAACCATTAGATACTACAGTTTAATTTTATATTCGAAATTTATTTTGATCCACAACATACTGAAAAAAACATCAAATAGCGTGTATAGAGAAGGACCGTCCCTTTGCGCTTGAATTCTGAACGAAAAATCGGCTTTTTCTCCAGCCACAGTTGTCTTTGAATAGTTGATAGGCTGTTTAGTTTACCCTGAAATTACCCAAACTAGTGAACGGTCCCTTTAAGAACTTGTATTTCCTTTAATTAAAATAATCTACTGCACAGGAGCCAGTTCACAGTGTTTTGAGAAAGATGAGGTAATGTTAAGTCCAATTAATTATGGCATGACATATCAAGGTCCTTTGAAAATCAAATAACAATCATTGAGAAATCCATGCTAATATTGTTTTAATCTTCATATTCTTTTGCATGCAGCCTGTAATAAACATATCAATGACTGATATCTTTAAATTTATTTTTCCTTATGCAAGGGACAAAATTAAACTTGAGAGGCGAGAGCGGAGAACCTTGGAGACAGGGCAAAATATAATTTAAAAGGCAAAATGGGACAAAATATAATCTAAAAAGGCTATAACCTTTAAATTTCTGTTAATAAATTTGTAGCCATGGAAACCAAAATAATAGATTTATAAATAGTTGTTTACATACAGAGAAAAAAAACTTTATTTGTGATGAAATTTTAAATATTATTTTTAATGATATGATTTAAAGTAATATGGGTTACCATAAGATGGAATTATTAACATAATTATGTATAATTTTATACATGTGTTAGGTATAACAATTACAATTTACAAAATCTCTGGCCATATTTCTTGATTGAAAAAAAAAACACAAGGAGAACAATTTTTCCATAGTATTCTTGTTATTTTTTATATTATTACAAAAAATGGGAGGTGGAAGATACTAAGAAAATAGTATGTCATATTATGATACAAAAGTGATAGAAGATATAAAATATACAAACATTGCAGTGAAACCCTTACAGGGACTGTTCACTTATTTAGGTAATTTCAGGGTAAACTAAACAGCCTATTCGCTCTTGATTGGTAATACTTTTCAAAGACAACTGTGGCCGGAGAAAAAGCCAATTTTTCGTTCAGAATTTGAGCGGAAAAGGACAATCCCTCTCTATAGACACTATTTGATGTTTTTTTCAGTAACAGCAGCCCAATAACATTTAAATTTATTATATTTGAATGTCATTATGTGTTCGTTATTATGTACTAAAATATGAAAACTTTTGATATTTGAGTTAGCAAGAAATTTACATTTTTCGTATTAAAACATGTAAAATATGTGTATACAAAGACGACGTCTCTACAACAATCAATTAATCATTACTCATATTTTGGTTCGTAGATTTTGTAAATTTTTTCCCGCATGTGCACAACTTTTCATTTGTCATGCCGCGTTCAATTCAGCTTTTTACACAGGCAATACACAATTTTGAATGCGATAAAATAGTGTTATTTTAGAAATAGAAAGTTAAAAAAAAATTTAAAAAAATGACATTTACAATTAACGATTAGATACTACAGTTTAATTTTATATTCGAAATTCATTTTGATCCACAACATACTGAAAAAAACATCAATTAGTGTCTATAGAGAGGGACCGTCCCTTTGCGCTCGAATTCTGAACAAAAAATCGGCTTTTTTCTCCGGCCACAGTTGTCTTTGAAAAGTAAGACTATTACTAATCAACAGCGAATATGCTGTTTAGTTTACCCTGAAATTACCCAAATAAGTGAACAGTCCCTTTAATAACGAATACATCGGAAGAATTTATCAAATGTCATCTTGACAATTTTTCAATGAGTTTTATACTATATTACATAAATCTAAGTATTTGCGAAAATAAATAAATAGCCATGTATATGCGGGAACAGTTTTAAAGAGTTTCATATAATCATTTAATTAAAAAACTAAATATTTTCAACATTCCACTATCAGAAAGTGAAGAATACAACATTTGATGTATTTGTTATTAAGGGTTTCACTGTAGTTCTTACATGTAAACCATATAAGATGCATTGAAAATTTCAGACAAAGTTGTGTGGCAAGTACCAGGATACTATGAAGAACTATGTCAATGAAACATTCATAGAAGATTTTCTTCTGAAAACTCATAGCTTTATCAAAATATCTGATCTAATTGAAAGATTAGATGGAATGAATAAGAATGGTTCTGAATGGATTTCATACATTGGGAATACATCTAATGAGAACTTTAGGTATTTTATTGTTGAATGAAATTCTCTTAATATTTTTCAAATTAATTTTACAAGGTGCATTATACAAGAAAATTGAATCAACTAACTTAATTGATCTTTTCCAGATCAATTCAGAGAATCTCATGTGAAGCTGATTTATGAAATCAAGATTTATTTTTGGTGTAATAAGTTTTCATCATTAATTCCCCAAACTTTTTCAATGGCTTTGAATTCTTAAAAGCTTTATGAAAGTTTCTTACAGAACCAATTAATTTAAAAACAATTTGTAAGTGGTGATTGAGATAAAATAATTAATGTTGAGATTCAGTTGCCACTGAGGCTCTGGACAGTCAGGTTCTTATACAGCACTTTCAGCTTCTTTTCCTCCTCAGCTCCCTCTTGCCAGAAACAAGAAAAATGGAAACATAGAAAGTAAACATAGAAAGTAGAATCCTGATAAGATTGTGCACCATCCATAATGATACTGGTTCATATCCTGCTGGCTGCGAGAAAAAGATTTCTGTAGATGATGTTGTATTCTGAAGTACAATAGCTGCAACTCCCCATGTGGTGCAACTCCTATGGGTAACCTTTTATAAATTCCCCACTCTGAAAGAGTATAAATCCGGGAGAAAGTAGGGATCTTCTATGGGAAACCATATCCCTTCCTTAACTACTCCAAACTTCCAACTCCTCTATTTGTCACAAACAGCATTTGGAATTGATTTCTTAGTGGGCAAATGTTGTGGGCTCCATTTTTAAGACCACTAGACATTACCAGGATTTGGACATGAAACTTAAAGTGATAATTGCCGAAATCTTTTTTCCCTCTGGCCCCCCTATACCCACCCTGGCATGGCAATAAATCTACATACTGAGTCAGCTATAACATACAATCAACCTCAGTGAGTGTCTAAAAACTACTGTTTTTGACCCAATTTTATTTTCTTCAAAATTATCAGAACCTGGGATAGTCAACAGAAGAAAAAGACAAAAGGAAGAAATGATGACAAGCAGAATAATAAAATTAAAAGTTTTTTGTATGAACTGTATCCAAATTATAAAATCAAAAATTTTAGATAATAAATTGTAAGAAAACTATTGATGTTGAGATACCAAATGGATAAATATCTTCAGAAAATTAACTAATAGTTTAGTGTTTGTTTACATTAGGATGAATTTGTACCCCTATATTGAAAACTACCTATTGCTTTGCTATACATGGAATCAGCCAATTCCGCAGTTTTCTAAACTAAGAATCAACCCAAATAAGAATACAGGTTTAAAACAAAAAATATGGCAAAATTTAAGCAATTACTTTTTGAATTTTTTAGAAAATCTGTTTATGCTGGTACATAAGGAAGGTCATTTTAATGCCGCCTCAAAAACTGACCTGACAGAACTTTTATATATACCACATATCATGGATTCACAGCCAGAAATTGAAGTTAAAAAACTGATCTCTACATCTAACATGGAATGTCAGGATGGACTGGAAACTTATGATTTGTGTTCTGAAATGACAATACGAAAGAGATGGGAAAATAATTGTATTCCACCATTTTTGATGAAACTACAGAATATTTCAAACTGCACCATGCATGCAGCTTTCAATATTTTCCAAACTAGCCCTGAAGAATGTTTAATACCATGTTCTCAGATTAAAGTAAATATCAAGCAAAATCCTGTGGACTGGCTTTACATCTTGGTAAATCCTAAGCTCCCCATCAACACTGTCATCCCTGGATACTATTTAACCATTCCTTCCTATATTCTCTATTCTGAAATGCAGGAAAGTTACACTGCCATTTCTTTTATTGCTGAATTTGGAGGTTGGGCCGGATTGTTCCTAGGAGTGTCAGTTATTGGGGTCTTTGAGTTCATAATGAATAAGTTCTCAAACATATCTCCTCATTCACTTTTAAAGAAATTAACATCAACATCCTTCATGCTGTTGAAATTAGCATGTGCTTCATGTGTGATATTTATTCTGATTACATCATGTAAAAAGCTTATCAACAAAGAGAAAGAATTGAATGTGAAAATACAAGAAGGAATTCCTGATCTCAGCATTTCTTTCTGTTCTGTGAAGAATGTTTATGCTGTTCCATTTCTCAGGGCCAACCTTTCCTATATTGGAAATCATTCGTCCTTTTGGTATAATGCAACAAGCTTAAGTGAAAAGCTGAAACGTTTGGTTTTAATTCTTGAGAATGGTAAAAAGATAACAGTTTATGATTCTTTCTTTACAATTCTTAATAGATACAAATTTGACACAATGATTACCGCAAAATATGAATCATACCTTGAGACCTGTCATACCCTGAATCTGAAGCACTGGACCAACATCAAGACAATTCAGTTTACAGCAAAACAAGAGTTAAGTATCTATGTACATATGCCTGGAGAGCTTCTAAGGCCTGGAAGACAAGGTTTCTCTTTTATAAATTCTGCCACTGTAAAAGGGTAATTGAAATAGTCATCAGCCAACCAATATTTTTAAACTTTGGCAATCAAGGAATATTATTCGAAGACTTGTTTTTTTTAAACCAAGGAAGAGTTCCGGTTTCAAGAAGTATTAAAGATTTAGAAAGACCGTTATTGTAGATTTTTACACAATATTACCAAAATGTTTGAAATTTGGATTCTGAATAATATAAACAACATTCAAGGAATTCTGAATTTAAACTTTGTCATTGAAGCAGAAATTATTTCTTCTGTCTTTCCATGGCACAAATTGACCTTGATGTCACTTACAAATCCTTTAAAAGGTTAATTTAAAAGCTTTATTCATACTATTTCAAATACTAAACTAGGTTTAATTCTTATAAAGAAGTTGCCGACTCAAGAACATCAGTTCACATTGAAATCTTGAAACAAAATAAGGTTTCTGAAGATCACTACAATAATCAATATTCATATGATGACTGCATACTGAATCATATAAAGGAGAAGAATACCAACAAGAATATTACACAGTTTTTAACAACAGAAACCAAGAGAAAAAATGGTATTGAAGAAATATTCTTTAAATTCTTGTCAGAACAATTGGAAGAATTGGAATCTGGAATGGAGTCCAATAACTGCAAAATTCCAAGCACTAATCTACAAGCAACATTTGATTTGGCTAGCTTGGATTTTTCATTAAGTAAAGCCTTTGCAACCAATTATTATGGTTTTATAAACGGAACAGTTCATGAAGAAAGAATATTTGGAATCAGTATTGATTTTCCTCGTTCATTTGTTTTAAAAGAGGTAACTGTACTTACATATTTCTAAAAACTTTAATTAATGCTTAGTGTAGTATCATTTTAAGAAAAGATTTATCTAATGACTGTATTAGGTTGATTTCTCATATGGCATTATATCTCTAGTGGGTGAGGTAGGGGGTTGGGTTGGACTACTGCTAGGTGCCAGGTGAGACATCTTTTTTGTTTTGTTAATAAGATTTTGTGAAAATGTCAGATCACAACCAGACCAAATTTTGTTTTTAAGTACTCTGGGATGTGGATATATCTTATCACAGAAAATCAAGAAATTCAAGAAAAAACTTGGCATCATTGTCTTACTTCTGACAGTTGCTGGTATATCTATTGCAATGACTGTTCAACTGGTTAGCTCTGTAAAAAAGCTTGAAATGTACCCAACTGGAAGCAAAGTAGAATATTTGAAAGCGGAAACAGACATGAGCCTTTCTCTTTCTATTTGCCAAGATCGTTCTGTTTTTCTAAAGGAGGAGTTTAACAAATTCAAGATACCTCTCAAAGGGGTGTTTAGAAGAGAGGAGGAAGATGCTCCATGGATAAAGTATGAGGACAATGAGATGAAGATGTTTAATTGGTCTGACAAAGCAAATGTAACTCAATTTTGTTTGACATTTAAGTTTTATGAAGATGAAATCAAAATGACCCATAGTTTCACAGAATACCATTCAAGCAGTATTTATGTTCATGATACTGGTCTTCTTACAGCTGGAAACTTTATAAAGCTAGATGGCAATCTTTTGAATGATAACAACATCATAATATTGGAAGCAAAACAGATTCATAAAATGGAAGAGGAAAATGTGTGCACAAACTCTGATGAGTTTGATTTGTGTAGAGAAGATTATATTTCAGATCATGCTTGTCAAAAAAGTCTTATTAACATTAACAGGTAGTGTAAGTTATTAATCTGCAAAGGAATTGAGTTTTTGAAACAAACTCTGATTTTCTAAAACCTATATTTTTTGGAAAATTTAAAATCTTAGTGTGCGACAGATACTGAATTCCTTCGTATTCTTAAATTGGAGGACATGGGCATTATGATCAATCATAGTTAAATTGTGAATGAATCTGTTAAAGTTTTCATGAAATTTTACTGTTGAGAATTCAACAAAAGCCAATCTTTCCCTTTACATCTGACATTGTACTATATAACTGGTGCAGCAAATACTTATGGATTTTTAGGCAACATAACATTATTGGTAAAATATAAAACTGTTTTTACACTTTAAACGTTGTTTGTGTTTGAATAATCTATAGGTCCAGGCAGCATATATATTAAAATTTTTCATCTTCCATACGTATGATATGCATATCTGTATCAACCTTGTTGAATATTTTCAGCTTTTGTTTTCCTCTTGAAGGTTTATTCTTCTAAAAAAATCTTTTTTTAAATAATCAATTCAATCTTAGCGGTCTATAATTATAATTATAACACATATTTAGAACTGTTATTATCATTCTTCTCATCTTGTCTTATCTTGAATTGAAAAAAAGAACACTACAGATAGAAAGTTTGCTCCCCTTAAATTCATATATTTTATAACTTAAATTTTTTCAGGAATTCGGCATTAGTATACAAAGAATGCAATTTTACGACTATGGGTAAGTAGTTAAAAAATAAATTTTTATTCTTATATTCAAATAGTAAAATTACACTTTTTAAATGGTTTTTCTTCAGGATATTTAAGAGAAGAATTCAATAAAGAGTTTTTTGAAATTTCAACAAATTTCAAAGCAGGACCAAGTACTTGCCTTCTGCCATGTAAACAAAGCTTCTTTGTTGCCAAACCTTTACAGATCAAGGAGAAGGTATTTTTTTAGGATTGTGGGAGGTATTATTTATGACAAGGCTCCTTGGATACTTTGAATTACTCTTTCTTTTTCTATGGAATTTTTATGTGCATTAAAACATGGATATATGATTCTTGGCCTATCAGTACAATCTTATGAGCACATTTAAATGCTGTAAAAAAACAAACAAATAACTGCCAATATTGAAGATAGATTAGCAATAAAGTGAACTTTTCTTTCACAGCCAAATCTATATATATAAATTTGGCTTGTCTGTCTGTTTGTATCCGATAAACGTCAAAACGGCTGAACCGATCGGGCCCAAATTTTTTGTGGGACATCTAGGGACCCCAGGGAAGGTTTATGAAAAATCAAAATTTCAAATATTTGTCTCCATCAAAATTCGATCGTCATTAAATTTTTTAAAATTTTGAAAATCCACGAAATTTTTTGTGAAAAACCGCGAATTATTTTTGTTTTGTTTTACGATGTACACAAAGAGAACATGTTCACAATTAATTTAGAAGATGGGCGCGAAGCACCCTCTAAGGCTAGTTCTTTATATTCTTCAATTATTGTAAACTTTTCTTTTCAAATTAAATAATTTAATTTGCAAATGTTTCATCTTTTAGAACAAACTCTTATGAAACTAAGTATCAAGAATTTGATTTAACCAGTTTACTAATAATTTTCTAAAAATATTTGTTGTTTACAGAAAAAAGGGAATTACGATGTTAAGTATCTGATAATCAAGAAACCCCGAAATGTGGAAGTTCTGAAGAGTGAATACATTTACACAATCTGGGAATTTGCTGCAGAGTTTGGAGGCTGGGTTGGAGTACTCTTTGGTTTCTGTATTCTTGATATTATTGATCTTATCAAGACTGTATTCATCTTCATATTAGATCTCTACATGGATTAATTAAATTTATAGTTTGTTCTCATATTTATAGTTTATTCTCATGTGTGCATGCTCTTCAGAACTTATCTCTTTTAACTTTAATGTTTATGAAATATTAAATTGATTAAATAAATCACTTTTGTCTATAATTAATAATTATCAGAGCATTTTCAAAGAATTAAACGCAAATGTAATGAGAGGGTTGATTTTTAAGATTAAAAACTATAACCGATGTAGACCAAAATAATTTATGATTAAAAGACCGAACATAGAAACAATCATTTCTTGATCCACTGTTAATTGTTCAAACTACACAATTGAAATTTTGATTTATCCATGATTAAAAATACGGAGTTTTGGACTATTTTATCAGCACTTTTATTCTATTCATCCAGAATAAAATGTAAAATAACATTTTGTTTAATATACAGAGACACTTTATTTTATACAGATAACATTTGATACAGGGTGTCCCACGAAACATGACAATAGCAAGACGATCAAGACGACATTCAAGTCGTCCTGCATACTGTCATGTTTCGTGGGACACCCTGTATCTTAAAATTGAAGTTTCAAAATTCGCTGGTGTTAGAAAATCAAGTTTTCTCTATAACACAATTCTCTTTGCTCTGGACGGAATGGGCTCACATATTTTAAAATACATTTTCTCAGCTCATAACACATAAATGTATCATACTCCTTAAGACACTTTATATTATTAGATAATCATATAATTATATTAGATTATGATGGGAATAATGCTTTATTGTTATTTACACTATAAGCAGTATTATTTTAGATATATGTCAAGTATAAACCTAAACCCGTTTTTTTGTGGCGGTAAGTGGTAGAAAAATCTTACAAAATATTGTTGATAAAAAATGTTCCCAAATTTTATTCCCTATAATGATGCAACCATAGTTCTCTTATGTGCCGGTGTCATGCATAGACTCTTGCATGGGGCGGACTCCTCCTATAGTTTTAAGGTTTTAACCATTTCAGCACAATGTTAGACATAAAAAGCAATGTTATGACATTTTCCGATATTTATTAATGTATTTTGATTGGAAAAACACATGAAAAATTATCTATGTCTCGAGTAAATATTAATTGTTTGATGATCTGAAATAAAGACGACATTCAAGAGGAAATATACTTTTTTTAGCCTTAACCCCCTTTACAATACATTTAAGAACTAAATGCCTATTTAATAAATGTCAATTTTCACATATTCAGCTTTAACCTTTCAGATCTTTATATTCTTAGTAGTTTTAGTTTATTATCAAAGCCATTACCACAAACCAGCCCTCCTCCCCATGTCAGATACCACACAGTTTTATTGGCTTTATCGATTCAGTCCAACAAAAAAGACACTGCACAGTGCACATACCTGTGTATAATATAAGTTTTATAATTCTCCCTATTCTTTTTTACCCAATCAGTTATAGTTAATATTCTTTCGTAATATAATAATTATTAGAATTCAATATTTTATCCAATATTCCAATATTCACTAATGATCTATTAAAAAAAGAAACATGTATTTTCAACCAATTTACAAAGACTCGTCCCCCCCCCCCTCCCCCTACTCACGAAACATTATGGTTTAGATCCTTCTAAAAAATTTTAAAACATTTTAAAAAACTTGGAACTAAAATAACCTAATAACATGCATATTATGATGATACAATTAAAGTTAAAATATTTTGTTAAAATTATTTTTGACAAAATATTTTCTTTGACTTTCTCTTCTTTATTTTGATTTATGTAGATATTCATAAAAGCATAATTGGCTGGGCGAGGTATTATTTATTTTAATATCATGACCGGTGCGCTTAGGATCCGGATCCGTATCAAAATTAAATGGATCCTAAGCACTGCTTTAAAACGTCTTAAATATATATATATATATACTTTTCTAAAAGAAATACAAGTCATCGTTTACTTCATTTTTAGCCAAAAAAACGGAGTGTGGTGTGTAGTCTAAAAAGCGGAGTCTGGTGTGTAGTCTAAAAAGCGGAGTCTGGTGTGTAGTCTAACAAGCGGTGTCTGGTGTGTAGTCTAAAAATCGGAGTCTGGTGTGTAGTCTAAAAATCGGAGTCTGGTGTGTAGTCTAAAAAGCAAAGTCTGGTGTGTGGTCTAAAAAGCGGAGTCTGGTGTGTAGTCTAACAAGCGGAGTCTGGTGTGTAGTCTAAAAAGCGGAGTCTGGTGTGTAGTCTAAAAATCGGAGTCCGGTGTGTAGTCTAAAAAGCAAAGTCTGGTGTGTAGTCTAAAAATCGGAGTCTGGTGTGTAGTCTAACAAGCGGAGTCTGGTGTGTAGTCTAAAAAGCGGAGTCTGGTGTGTAGTCTAAAAAGCGGAGTCTGGTGTGTTGTCTAAAAAGCGGAGTCTGGTGTGTAGTCTAAAAAGCAAAGTCTGGTGTGAAGTCTAAAAACCAAAGTCTGGTGTGTAGTCTAAAAATGAGGTTCGTATTTTTTTTATCAATCTGAAGAGTCTGTATTTGATGATTACAATCTTTGTAAAAGCTTGTAATTGATAACAATTAGATAAAATCTTGTAATTGTTAACAATCTGTATAAAAACTTAATTGTTATCAATATATAAAAAACCTTGTAATTGTTAACAATCTGTAAAAAAAACTTTTAATTGTTAACAATTTGTATAAAAGCTGAATTGATATCAATCTATAAAAAAGCTTGTAATTAATCAGATAAAATCTTGTAATTGTTAACAATCTGTATAAAATCTTGAAATTGTAAACAATCTGTATAATAGCTTGTAATTGTTAACAATCAGATAAAATCTTGTAATTGTTATCAATTTGTATAAAAGCTTACTAGTTATCAATCTGTAAAAAAGCTTGTATTTGTTAAACAATCTGTTTAAATTCTTTTAATTGTTAACAATTTGTATGAAAGCTTAATTGTTATCGATTTATAAAAAAGTTTGTAATTGTTAACAATCTGTATAAAATCTTGAAATTATAAAAAACCTTTTAATTGTTAGCAATCTGTAGCAAAGCTTGCAACTGTTAACAATTTGTAAAAAACCTTGTAATTGGTAATAATCTGAATAAAAGCTTGTAATTGTTAACAATCTGTCTAAAATTTTGGAATTGTTAACAATCTGTAATAAACCTTGTAATTGTTGCAGCTTGTAATTGTTATGATTCTGCATAAAAGCTTGTAATCGATATTAATCTGCGTAAAGCTTGCAATTTCTATTAATCTGAAATAAAAGTTTTCACTGTTTATTAATCTGTATTTGTATTGTGATTGTTATCAATCTGTATAAAAACTTGTAATTGCTATAAATCCGTAAAAAAGCTTGTAAATGTTAATAACAATCCGTATGAAGTCTGTAATTATTGTTAACTTAATGCTTGTAATTATTGTAACAAAAAAAATAAAGGTTTATAGGAACTAAGCTCGAAATCTTAAGTGACTACATTGTTTGAGTTAGCCCATTGATAAATATTTTTTTTAGGCTGATCCTTTCGTGAAGCGATGAGAGCAAGATAGTTGTGAAGAATGGTTAGCGATTCCTTTAGTGCAGAGGACCTACGGCAATAAAACTATTTATTAAATAACAGTATGAGTCTGAAGCAGCAGTCACAGAACAATAATTTAGCCATTACGGCAATCAGGGCACATAATATTGTTACAAGAAATATTTTTATATGAATTCAAATTTTCGGCACTTAGATGATTTTTCAGTGAATTTCTATAATTTGTTAAAGCTTTTAGATCTTGGTTTAAGGAATTCCATTTTCTGGGTAAAATGAAGGATGGATGATTGCGCAGGGACGATTTTTTGCAAATCTTTGTTCTCAGAATGCATAAACAACTTGCAGTTCAAGTCAAACAAATCGTTTAACTTCAGGATATTTAATTTCATAAATATTGGATTAGTGTGGGAATTTTATTTGCTTTTGTTGATACTTCGTATACATTTTTTCTGGCAATTGATTAACCCTTTAAGTTTTGATGGTTGAACACCTCCCCAGGCTAATAAACCAAACTCAATATGTGGTCTAAACAATCCGTTATAAGGGTTTACCAAGGTTTCAGTTGGAAAAATGTTCTTTAATCTTGGTATTTGCAAGGGGCAAGAATGATTTTACTCTTAACTTTGTTTATATGGGTATTCTAAGAAAGATTTTCGTCAATATTCACCCCTACAAATTTAAAAGATTTAGTTGGGCAGTCATTTCCTATTCTTTCTATTATTTCCCCACCTATTGATAACGACAAATTATTAAGATTAATCTTTTTATTATTTGGACCAAATACTATAAATTTAGTTTTAGAAACATTAAGTATCAGTTTATGACAGTTAAACCAATCAGAGTCTTGTTCTAATTCATAATTTACTTTGTTAAAAAGCTCTCTAATATTATTTCCACTAAGGTGAAAGGTCGTATCATCTGAAAAGAGAAGGCTTAAGAATGAAACTGCATATGGAAGACAGTTAATAAACAAGAAAAAAAGTATAGGACCCAGAACAATCTAATCCAACACTGTTCTTAGGCTTGAGTTCAACTCATTTAAACTACGGGCGTTAAAGTTACCATGCAGTGGACTCAAGAATAACATGTTTAGTAATATTGTTGAAGACAAAGTTGTTCTCAATTTCATTTCCTAAATAGTCTTTACAAGATGTTGTGCTGTTTGGGATGTTTTCAGCTAGTTTAGGACAAACTCATCATTCTTAATTCTTGTTCCTTTATGAAAGACAACGAAAGAAATGTCAGAATTAAACACTTCAGGCCAGAAAAATGTTGATGTCTTCCATAGTATTGTTTAAATAAAATTTTTAAGGGTACAGTTGTGAATCGGGATTGTCCCTTTTAAAATAAGAGTGTCAATTGAAAAATTATGTCGGGAGTCAATTTGAAATAATGCATTAATTGTTCTTTTGGGCCGCAATATAATTACCGTTATAAACGAGTTTATTAAATTGACACATAGTCAGCATGAAAAGTTAAGATAGCAAAATAACAATTTATTTCTTACGTTATCACTTTTACATGAGTTTTCAAGTCTTTTCAAATTGAAGCTTCGATTAAAAGAATCTTCACAAAACATACATTTAAATGGTTTCAGTCCTGTATGAATCCGTTTGTGCATATTTAGGTCATCTGTTCCTCTGAATTTCTTACCGCAAGTTGGACATTCAAGCAGTTTTTCACCAACATGAATTCTCCTAATGTGTTTATGCATTTGACTTGACTGGGAAAAAGGTTTTTGACAAAATTTGCAAACATATGGTTTTTCTCCAGTATGAATTCTCATGTGTTTCGTCACAGTATCAGAGAATGCAAACGATTTGTTGCATATCTTGCAGGAAAAGGGTTTTTCTCCAGTGTGTGTTCTCATGTGGCTGTTCACAGCAGATTGTAATGCAAACCTTTTACCGCATATATGACAAGTACACTGCTTCTCTCCATGAATTTTCATGTGTCCCTTTAGGTTACCCATATCTTTAAAGGTTTTCTGACAAACTATACAAGAGAAAGTTTTATCCTCATGAACTTTCATGTGCTTTTTCATGTCGGTGTAAACCTCAAATGATTCATCGCAAATAGTACAGGGAAAGAGTTTTTCATGTGTTTTCATATGCCTAGTTATCCCACGATCAGAGAATCTCAATTCCCCGCAGATAGGACAGGTTCTACTCTCTTTAGAAGCTCCTTGCTCGTGGTCTTCCCCAGTTTCATGGTTTTCTTCTTCTATAGTTCCTACAGTTATATGATGAGCTACTGCTAGTGCTAGTTCGTCTGTTTCAGGGATACACTGGGCAGCTTGAAATCCAGGATCAACTTGTAATCCAGTGTCAGATTGCAATCCCTGTTCAGTCTTGAATCTATGATTCGATTGTATGACAAGATCATCTTGTAATCCAGGATCAACGTTCAATCCTTGTACAGTCTTGAATCCATATTCCTGTTGTATTACAGGACTAGAGTGTAATCCATCTTCGTTTTCAAGAATCTAGACAATAACAAATTTTTTACAATCTTTTAATTCAAGAAGCGACCTTTTTTAAGTCTCACTATAATTAAATAATTAGACTAAAAAATGCAAATCCTGCAATATATTCATACTGTCAATAATAAATTATAATTCTACAGAGGTCCTCAAAATTATGTAAACTATTAGCTGCAAAAAATAATATATTATTTTATATAAAGTTAACTAAATTTGATCGAAATTTTTCTGAAGAACGCAGGGGGCAGTGAAAATTTACTAAACGGTTCCCTTAAAAGCTTTGTCTGATCTAGCATGCTAGATTTTCATCTTCATAGTTTTTAAACTGTTTAATTTCAGTTGTGGTTTCTCTACAGAAGTGATTTTTACAATTCCACTGCAAGAATCCACGAAGAAATTAAAAGAATTAAACACGCTTAAAACTAAATGAACAACAATATCATTAACTTTATTGAAAAGATAAAAAGTACTGTTGAGAATCGGACATTGCAATCTTACTTGGTGGGTCACTTAAATTGACATTTTTTCATCAGCAAGCATTATCATTATTTCGCTCAGCGTTTACATCCAAAGAATACAAAAAATAGATAGATTAATTTTGGCATTTTTTAAGGACCTCCCCTTTTCGGGCCATCGCAGGTTTCAGACAAAAATGATCTCAATCGGTTCGGCCGTTTTAACCCTTTTTGCAAATATAAATAAAAAATTATTAATTACCTTCGGTGGCTTACAATTTTCTCTTTGGTCTAATTCTTCTTCAACAATCTCAAACTTCAGAAATTCGGTTTCTTCCAAAAACCCCTCGACAGTGTCAGTACCGGCACCAACCTCAAATATATAAAGTTTTACTTTACTTTTAAAGGGACTGTAAATTAATTTTCACGTGACCCTTCATTAATAGAGACGCATCTCTGCTTTACAACTGTACCATTACAGGGGTATTGTCTGATCAAGTATGAATTAGATAATTAGATTTCTATATTTAAAATGTATATTTTCATTCATGGTCTTTGCAAAAGGATATAAAGCGGATTTCTTGCTTTAGAAACAATGGGGAAATTAGTATATTTAAACTCTTTTTAAGTCAGAAAAACGACGCTATTATCCTCATTATTGAGCAGATTTTAAGGATACCGTTGTGAATCAGACATGTCCTTTGTTTGAATTTAGCATATTAAAATCCAAATGACTGTTCCTTTAATACTAACCCTGCTGTATTTATAAATGAAAACCATCCTAGTCCTTCAAATAAATTGTAAAGTATAAAATTTCAACAGCTGATGAATCATTGCAAAAAAATAATCTATAATATATCTTTTATGGGCAATTAATATCAGTTATTTCAACAAACGAAAAACACCCATTTAAGTCCTATATATACTGTTATCATCTTCAACAGCCAAAATCAAAATCTACACTGTATAGAGAATACAGATCACAATAAGGTTTCAACTTACAATAGTGTTCTAAATTTACAGTTTTACCTGGCTTTGATTAACTATCTGTATTTCTTTACTGATTAGATGAAGAGTCATATGAACTATATTACAGTCTCCTCGGTATCTTCTCTGTAGCGTTGAAATTACTCTCCACTGCGCTTCGGCAGACATCTTGGAACTGTTGAGAAGTTTGAATACTAGAATATGATCTGTATATTCCAACCCAGCATCCAACAAATCTTCAAGTCTAAATAAGTACAAAAAAAATTTAAGTAAGAGATTGAAGCGATTCATCTAATTTTGGTTCCCCTTCAACCCTTCCGCCAAATAAAAACAACGATGACATTCTTTAAAAAATATTGTTAAATAAAGCAAACATTGTTAGGAAGACGGATTAGGAGGGGAGTGACCCCCGGAAAAGAATATCAAACTGCGTAAAAACAATTAAAGGGGGGAAATTTAAAAATAAAATAAACACCCCTGTATAGTTTCAGATTAAACTCAACACTTTACCATCTTCATTCTGAAAAAACGACGCCCCCCCCCCTTCCATTCCTCTAGATCTGCCCTTTTTCAAATCAAATCAAGTGAACATAACCATTAGGACCCTCCCCCCCTTCCTCCTCCCTCCTCTCCGGAACCATTAATACAATATAATCTAAGAAATTATTGTGCTAAACCCCCAGTGCCAAATATGGAATCCCCTGACCGCCATCGAACATACGTTAAGGTCCAAACCCTTGTTATCCCAAACATATTAACTAAATCTAACCGTCTGTTCCATGAATCAATGAACTGGTTAAAATCCTCAATTTTAGAATTAAACTCGTAACTTTCAAAATTATTGAAAGCCCGCCAACCTCCACATAGATTCAACATTTTTCTGAAATAATTTATCATGCAAAACTTCATTACAAAGAAGTTAACCATAATTTTCTGAGTTTTATGAAATAAACTAAACCATTGACATAATTTTTAATAAAACTATAAATCAGGGCGTAAACAGGTAGTGGTGGTGGTGGGGGGG